TTGTAAGTGTGCTTTCATCACTCAGATAGCATTATTAATGTCAGAGCTAGCATATCAGTTAGCACCGCATGCCTCTAACCCTGGGATATTCAGTTAGTTCAGTGTTGGGGGTAAATTACAAAAACAGTAACAGATGTTTGAAACAAAACAAAACAAAAAAAATCCCTTAAAAACTAAAAACTAAACTAAAAAGAAGCTACCAAACTTTCAGCAGGTCTGTTTTTTTTAGTGCAAAGAAGTTGTACTAATCATGAAACCAACTATATATCATGAAAGCGGCATGCTGAATTTACAGCAATATGAGTGCAAAGTACCTGATCAAGACACATAAAGACATTTTAATATTCAAATGGCGATGTGCGTCCTTACACAGGATGTGTTCACATTACCAGGTTGAAGTGACTAATCTGATTTTCTGCCTTAGTGTGACACAGATCCAATTTTTTCAGGATTGTGTTGGACACAAATATGAAATCTTTCCAAATCAAACATATGCAACATTCATATGTGGTCCTAGATTGGATACATATCTGATATGTGGCCATGCAACACAAGTGAGAATGGTCAGATCGGAATTCATGCGGCTTCTCCCCAGCATATCACAGTTGTCATCATCCAGAGTCAGCAGCGCAGCAGAACAGCAGTGGAGGACAGCAACAGCAGGGACTATTTTCAGTGGAAGGATGGGGAGATTGGTGATTTGCTCAACATTGGGGAATTGATTCAAGCTAAATCGGAAGGAACCTACCGTAACCCCAATCTGAGCAAAAATCGGAATTGTGCAAAGATGCTTGTAATGTGAATGCAGCCCTACATTTCATTCATTTGTACATATTATAATACATTTGCACACACATGCTGCATTTGTTTCCTTGCAAGAGAAATGACATTTTTTAAGCTTAAATATAGCAGTGAATTCAGTGTCACAAGTTAACTAGCAATGCTAGATCATTGGTGGTGATTTAGTTATTATCTGAGAAAGATTAACCATAGTAAATACACTATATTTGCTTATGTATATCTATCATTGAAAATGAATAGGAGTGTGGCCTTTTGATACTTTGTGCACAATTTTTTTTTTTTTTTTAATCAGTAAATCTCTGGGCCAGTAAAAAAAATGCTTACTATCAGCCAGCATAAAGCAATTTGTGCAACATGAAGGGAAAAATTGCTGCTAGTTGTCCAATGCTTTGACTCACTGCTGCTGAACCCTGAATGATCTGGATGATTAAGAGTCTTATTAGATAACAGTTAAAGTCGTGTGCAGTGTAAGCACAGAGAAGAACAGGAACACCAAGAGAGCTATTTAAAACACTTTCTCAAAAAGGTTACATTTTTGTCTCTCTGCCAGCACACTCATCTCTCAATTCTGCTAAAGTTCTACTTCCATGATGCTTTTTATAAATTTCCAATTTCACGCTGGTATTTTTGCATAAGATGAAAAATCTTGTCAGAGAACATACCGTATTGACCTTCCTCTCACATTTTTTCCTGAGGCTTAGTGATGTGCAGACAGATCTAGAGAGACTCTTCAGCAAACTCGGATTTAGACCGAGCAGGTTTGCTGTTATCTGCCTTCCTCTCAGCATATGTATAATGCACGCTTTTAACTGATTCTCTGCTCCCATTTAAAAATGGAAACCCTGGTGAAATATTCATATTCAGGTCATAAAGTGAAGGACTCGCTCTCTTGGTGGTTTTGTTCAGTTGTTAAAGCTTAATAATTGTACACATGTTAGCTAACAACACCTCAGAATGCAAGCTAATCAGTAATCAGTACAGATAACTATATGAAAATAAATGAGAGGCTTTGTACAACTTTTCTTATATTGTTCCAAAAAAAAGGTGTGAAAACTGTCACTGTTCTTTGCTAGTTTAGCTGCTACAGTTTGTATGTGTGTATAGAGAGTGGAAGCTAACCTTGGCGCAAGTTAGCTATAATAGTTTGCTAGCTAAACAGGCTACAGTTATTGATAACTGTTATGGTAGCTTGATGAGGTGGGCTTGCATGTTCTTAGTTAGCTAATAAATGTTTCAAATTTTAGCAAGCTAGCTATCATTATAAACATTCAGTAGTAGCTTCCAGCTAAATAGGCTTAGCTACATAAGTAAACTAGCTTGCTAGAGAATATGCTGGCTGTTCATTCACAGTAATACGGTACAGAAAGTGAGAAGCACAATGCACAGAAAATCAGTATACGCAACTGACACTGTGAAAACGAGTAGATCTGTAAGTTGTGCGTGACCGCTATAGCCTTCCTCACGCTCTATAGGTGTAAATATATTCCCCAAAAATACAAATATTACCAAAATGCCAAAGTGTACTACATGTCATAAGACATTTAAGATATCTATAAACAAATGTATTTTATTGCTTTAAATGTTATGAGAACCGATGTTAGGTTGTGCTAATATACTGTCTAGCATTAAACCGAAGAAACATTAGCTAAGTTAGCTAGCTAGTTTTCTCTGTAAACATTAGCTAGATACACTAGCTTGCAAATTTACAGTATTTATTTTATTTTAGTTAGAGTACACTGTAAAAAAAGGACTATTTAAAATGAATTAAAATATTATTAATTTAAATTAAATAATGTTTATTGGTAAAATATCAATTTTATTAGCTTGTGTAAAATCTAACAATTTAATACAAATGGTTGATGGATGGACGGACGGATAGAAAAACCTAGTGCGTAGACTAAAATAATGGACAATACTTATGTTTCTATCATGTATCCTAATGAGTACAAACATTATAAATTGATGATCATGTACTTCTGGGTTTGATAGTGCACACTCTGTCACCTTTAAAGCTGTAATATTTAAATGTAAGGGTGCAGATAGGGGGTTTGGTAAAGCAAGAACCGGCACTGAGAAAAACCTTACTTCCTAATACAGTTGTTGTTGAGTGAAGCCAGCAGGTCTGCATAATCTGCAATGTTGTAATGCAACCTCTACAGCTCTGTTCACTAGAGAGAGTAAATCACCGATGTTTAGTCTGGGACTGACTGCCTGTTTCGACGCTTGAACGGAAAAATAATTCCTGCTGCTCGGATGAATAATCTAAAGGCCACTACACCTAGCGATTTCGCCCCAGGGCTCCGTTTCCTGCTGATCCAGCCATAGGCCAAAAGTGCTGTGTATCGCAGAAAAAGCATGTATAAGTGAAATGAGTCTCAGTGTAGCTGCGTGGGCGTCAAACATCAGTGCTGGATAACCACAGCATGCGAGATCATGGTTATGCTGTGTTCCAATAATGTTTAATATGCCTTCATCAGCTTCCTCTCGCCATTTCGTGAAGTTCATTTTACCACAATAATGTTCTTTAACAGCAGCCCTGACAGTAATTCTGGTATTTATTATTAGTCTCTGAGTATGTGGAGCGCTCATTCTGATATGTTGTTTCTATAGTAACAGTTAATTCACAGGGACAGACTTGTATGGCAGACTCTCTGCAAAAAAGACAAATAATAAATGGCTTAAAAACGTGTCATTATTTAACAAAGCAAAAACTTATAATCATTGACGTGGTGACGTTTTCTTTAAGACATTTATTTAACATTTTTGGAAGGAGTCTCCAGCGTCAGTGCTTTGTAACAGTCAGTGGTGAAGTGTGAAGTCAGTGTTCTTATAAGTTTTTGCCATGGGAAAGTGTTCAGGAACAGAAGGCTGCTATAATTCCCTTTTAAAATAAATAAATAAAACATCAGGACCAGTTAAACATAATGCTTCAAATAACTTATATATGTTTAAATTGGGTTTTATGTAACAACACCTCCATCTTTACAAGACAGCTCTGCTAGCTAATTAGTGAGCTGATATGACTCATTATATAGTTTAAAGGAAAGTAAATGTGTAAATTTCCAGTGAAACTGTTGGTGTAGTGTATGCAGGAAACTTACATCTTGACGTGATATAAAGGGGATAAAAAGGGGTTTAAAGAAACATTTAATATGTAACTGTACTGGTGTGGTATGAGGCAGGAGGCAAGTGTGTAAACCAAGAATCATAATATAAGACCATAGCGGGGGTGAAAAAAAAACAGGCAGGCAAAGCTAAACAAGGATTAATTCATAATCATAACTGAGGGAAACAGGCAAGGGTCTTAACCAGGAAAATGCAGAACAAGAAACTACATAGAAACAGGAAAAACAAGGCATGGACTTGGACAAAAATGTACAGTAAACCTATATGCTACAAACAAACAGCAGGGTATATATAGACAAACTTAAAAGAACTAAACACAGAACAGGGAACTAAACACAGTCAGGGAACAAACCACTGACAGGACAGGAGCAGAGAGAAGACAGGAACAGGAACCAAAACAAACATGGGCACATGGCGTTAGTCACCATGGCAACTGCGACACAAAGGGGGAAATTGTGACAGCAATATCATAAACTAATTTTAACAATGTACAATTTCTAATAATTGCTTGATTTTCGGGAAAAACGTCTTCACCATTTGGCACAAACTCGACTCCTCTTTTCATTCTCCTCAACCTCCTCCTGCCTGGACTGAGAGGAAAACGCTGAACTCTGTTCTGTTGTTATTCTTCAGGACAGGATCAAAATGATGCCATTCTGTGGATTAGTGTGAGAAATGGTTCAGACATTGTATTGCTCTGTGGTTCACAGATGCAGCTAACGGAGTGAGTGGTGCGAGCTCACGGCCTCCTCCCAGGACCAGAGAGGTGCTAATCAATGGCCAGACGGTCAAACTGAAATACTGCTTCACCTGCAAAATCTTTAGACCACCAAGAGCCTCACACTGCAGCCTGTGTGACAACTGCGTGGGTAAGTTACATTAGTGTTTATTGTTGTTGTTGCTGTTTTGGCTGTTCCCGTTAAGGGTCGCCACAGTGGATCTATAGTTTGCATATTGATTTGGCATAGGTTTACGCTGGGTGCCCTTCCTGTTGCAGCCCTCCCCATTTATTCAGGCTTGGGGCCGGCACTGAGGGTGCACTAGCCCTTGCACCCCCCAGTAGCTGGGGTTGGCGCCCAGTGTGGGGCTCAAACTCATGATCCTGAGATCAAGAGTCCCATGCTCTACCAACTCAGCTAGCCGGGCACCCATTAGTGTTTATTGTACACTGTTAAAAAAGAGAAACTCTTTGTATAATTAAGAGTTATTCACTCTTAGTTGTCAACACTTTCGTAAAATGGAAACATTTATAGAGTTCTACATAGAAGCACAACAACAGCAGCACTATGATATAATGTCATATAACAATGTCTGAGAATGTATTTGCTATAAAAAAAAAAAAGGGCTAATGAAAAGTCTATGTTTTTTGTATTTTCCTGCAGAGCGTTTTGACCACCACTGCCCCTGGGTAGGCAACTGCGTGGGAAAGCGAAACTACCGCTTCTTCTACCTGTTCATCCTCTCACTCTCCTTCCTCACCATCTTTATCTTCGCCTTCGTCATCACCCACGTCATTCTGAGTGAGTAACGCTTACAGCCCACGCAGGCTCCCACTCAACACTCCGACTGTCAGGGGTGCACAGGGATTTACACTTCAGCCTGCACACTTTTAGCATCACTACTTTAATCCTGATCTTCCACTGCTGTTCACTGTCAGCCCTAAAAAGTGATTACAGCATAGTGCACTGACTGCAGTCCATATGGAATTGAAGAACAACAAGATTTTTAATTTTTTCACTCTAGCAGATTGGATTTGAAATGAAACAGTGATAAAATTATGTCTATGGTTTATATGCATCCATACAGATACTAGTAACATCCTATACTAACCCCATTTAACCTTATTCCTGCAAAATGCTCTGATACCAACATCCAATACCACCCGGTACTATGTGACATAAACATAGTGTAAGTTGCTATGCTAAAGAATGAATGACAGGATGTATTTCGTGATTAATGATCAAAACAGTGCAGACTGCAATCTGTGCTAATGCTGGAGGAACTCCAGCCTCTTCCTACAATACAAGTAATCTGGGAAAACATCTTATAGCGCTGAGAATTACACACACAAAGGTATTCGTGAGCGTGGAGGAGTGTGCAGAGAAACATATGAGAGCATTTCAGTTCTGTGAGCACTGAGAACTGAGACATGGACCCTTTTCTTTTCTCCTCACTCACCAGGGTCTACACTTTGCTCACGAATCAAAGAGCTATTCATTTTTAAAGATGAAAAATTGAAAGATGAATTGCACAAGGAGTTCATTGATAGCAGCAGACAGCAGCAACCAACATAAACAGAGCTAAATGTAACGTTTTATTGAGGCCCCTGATTTATTAATACTAAGTAGATTACTCATTTTGGTATCAATATTGATGAGTACACACCATGTACACATGTACTCATACTCAGTCTGAAATACAGAGTATCATTGCATCTCTAGTTTATTTATTAATACGACAGCTCCAATTAAAGATGACATTCTGTACTTTTAGTCAATTTCATATTTCATGAGTCAAACCAACTTGGCAGCCACTAGCATAGAACCCATAGGACCTGAAGCACAGAGCTAGAACTGCCACAAAATATCACAATATTTACACTCACCATCCACTTCAATAGGAACATCTGGTCTTTTTCTAGTCTTCAACTGTCCAGTTTGGGTGAGTCTGTGCCTATGATAGCCTCAGATTTTTGTTATTGGCTGACAGGAGTGGAACTTGATGTGGTCTTCTGCTGTTGTAGCTCATCCACCTCAAGGTTTGATGTGTTGCACATTCTGAGATGCTTTTCTGCTCACCACAGTTGTAAAGAGTGCTTATTTGAGTTACTATAGACTTCTTGTCAGCTCAGACCAGTCATTCTCCTCTGATCTCTTTCATCAACAAAATGTTTCAGCCTACAGACCCTCTGCACAAAGGATGTTTTTTTTTTTGCACCATTCTGTATAAACTCTAGAGACTGTTGTGTGTGAAATTCCCAGAGATTCCCAGCAATTTCTAAAATACTCAAACCAGCCCATCTGGCACCAACAAACATGCCCTGGTCAAAGTCATAGAGATCACACTTTTTCCCCATTCTGATGTTTGATGTGAACATTAACTGAAGCTCTTGCCCTGTATCTGCATGATTTTATGCATTGTGCTGCTGCCACATGATTGGCAGATTAGATCACTTCAAAAATGTGCAGGTGTCCAGGTGTTCCTAATAAAGTGGACAGTGAGTGTAAATATTTAAATAATATATTTAAATATATATATTATTTGTTTATACATATTTATACTTATATATTTTTATAATATATATTTATATTTAAATTTATGTATTTAATTATATTTAACTTTTTTTATATTTATATTTAAATATATTTCAATTCGTGTCTTCACGAATCACACAATTATGTACTATTCGAGATTATTATTGAGTGTCAGGTGTGTTCATACTCGACTCTACACACATGTAGGAGAGTAAAAAAAATGCTGAAATATATTATATCAGGTAGCACTTAATCATTTCAGCACTATTGTTTACATTGTGTGTATTCTTACCATTGTATTCTTTCAGTACAAAATAATTAGAGTTTAGGAACTACTGACTGTTTCTCGATGATGAAATGTCTATGAGACCCTCAGAATTGGCTGATTGGACAAAAGTGAAACTTCATATTTGCGTGCTGACTGTCAAAAAGTTAAGACAATAGGACATATGATCTGCGTGTGTATGCTAACACCTCCTAGTTGGATAAAATGCTGCAGTATTCCTGAATTAGCAACCTTTTTGACTATAGTGACATTAGTTTGTGATAAAATGTTTAGGAAAACTGCTTCTTTTCCTATCTGTCTTGTTTGGCTAATATAGTAGTAGCTAGCTAGAACTAGCATGATTCGTGATGAACCCTCATCAAAATCACTAAAATTAATTTACTTTTCCTAAGTGTATGAAGTGTATTAAATTTGTTTATTAGAGTAAAGTTATTAAGCAACTATGAAGCTGTTGCGTTTTTGAGCCACGGTAGTAGCTGTGCCATAGTTTCAGCCATTTAACAAATGCACAACAAAGGAGAAGGAGAAAGGCTTTAGTAAGCCTGTAATGGCAATATAGTGTATATTTGTAAAGTGATCTGATATTATATTTAAAAAGGAAATACATTTAGTAAATTATTGCATTTGCATTTTGGAAACTTAAAAAGAGCATATTGGGGAAATCTGAGAGGGAAGCAGTTCAAATTTGTTCAGTTTTAGTTGACTAAAATTGCTGTAGTTTTTCATCAACTAAATCTAAACTAAAATTAACAATAAACAAATGACTAAAATATGACTGTAACCATTACTGTAAAATCTATTTTAGCTAAAGTCTAAAACACCTGTCTATCTTCTTATGGAAAATATCATATTGGAGCTGGTGCAGCCTCCAGTGTGATGTGGTGTATGATTGTATGAAATGGATTAGCCCCGGTTCTCCACATCGATCAGCTCTGGAGGCAGTCCAGGAGACCTGAGGAGTCTGAACACTGCTGATGAGCCCATTTCCTGTCCCAGCAAGCACTTTATAGGTCACAGAACGGAGCTAGCTACTGTTTACTGCCTCAGTCTCAGCAGACATGTAGCCCTAAATGCTTTCTCCAGAAAGCCATGGCTTTACCAGTCCAAGCATAAGTCATGTTTAGCTGTGACTCTGCCCCTGTATGGTTTTGATTGCATTACAGATCATTAGCACTCAGAAAAGCTCATGGCTAAAGAGATGAAATATGAGACAGAAGTCCAGCGTTTTCTCTCCCGGCTTTTAAAGTGCAGTGATTTTTCACAAGACTCGAGGGATCAGTTTATGGAAGAGGAAAATTTATACTCATTACTCAGGGTGTGCCGAAACACTGACACTGTGATGGATCCTAAATCTAGCCTTTACAATATTTGTACTGTATCATAAGTCCACTACCAAGATCAGTGCTTATTTTATTTGTTTTTAAAATCAAATCTTTTTTTTTTTTTTTACATTTATTGCTTTTGAATCTTATTGTCCAAAGGTTATTTGGATAGTTAAACATTCTTAGATGCCAAAAAGGTTTCTACTTGGAATCGTCCCTGACATGCAGTCATGACATCAGATGAATGGCATGTATAAACACATTAACCTGATTATTGCTTAAAAAGTATCTTTACCTGATTTTTAAATATCTGCTAACAGGTTATTTTTATGAAATATATTTTATTATTTTGATAAAATGTATTTTATTGTATTTTAGTATCCTGTTTAGATCAGATAACTGCTAAAATCAGGTGATCAGGGTCCAGATTACTAAACGCACTGAATGTTTAATACTATGATTAAAAATGAAGGCAGTCATGACTGGACTGTGAGTACACGACACACCACATCATAATGGGTAAAGATAATCATTCCAGCCCAGCCTCAAAATCAGATTCTAACACACAGTGATCATTGTCTCGTAATGACTAATCCCCGATGTTGAGTCAGTTCGTACGTCCATCTGTGCTTCATGTGTTATTGTGTTTAGAATCAGTGAGAACACACTAGACTTTAATTAATCAATAGTGCTATCTTCAGTGATGTATTCTCTAGTTCAATATTTCTCAACCCTGGTTTTATACAGACATACACTGCATTTTCCTTCCTCCTGTTTCAACTCATCAGTGAATTACAGCTCGAACTTGGTTGAACTCGGTGAGTTCAAACCCTGCTGCATTTTTCCCCTCAGTATGGTTTGTGCAGGTGAGAACACAACAATCACATTCAGCTCCAGAACAAGCAGTCCGAGAGAGTCTGAGTGATGATGCGGTCTCGGTCTGGTTCTCTAGCGCAGATTGATTGCCGTGAGAAAATGATTTGAAATGAATCGACCCAAATACGGATAGTGAAACATACTGTACATGCTGTGTATTTTGGGTTTCAACGTTTTGTTTTTTTTTGTAGATGCGAGCTATTAAACTGACTGAGGCACAAACTGAGACAAATGACAGAGCTGTAGTGCTGCAGAAATATTCTGGATATTTGGACCGACGTACAAAAAGAGAAAATATTTTCAAGTAGTTATTTATATAAGTATCTAATCATCTGATTATCACATTGCTGTGTTTTTTTTTGTGCTGTGTTAATTCTAAGTGCGCTTAGCAATGGTTTGTTTACCTTT